TTTTAAAGGCATATTTTCTTTTTGACATGCTATTTGTTTATCTATGTTATCTAACTAAGGTCAGACATCCAGCTTTTCAGCACATGATGCTGCACATGCTGCTAATAATACCAAGGTTCAATCCCCATATGGGCCATTCACTTGAGAGTTCAACTTGATGATCCCTGTGGGTCCCTTCCAACTCAGAATATACTGTGAGCTGGAAATATGACCATAGTTACCCACTGAATACAAAAGACAGGTCTTGGATGGAGACCTAGGGATGGATACATTCAAACCAATTCAGATTTGCACTATGCTAGTAATTTTCTTCTGTTGGTTATCTTATTACTAGTATCTTATTTTGCTTGAATGCACACTTCTAATGCATTAATTGCTCAGAAGAACTCTGTAAGGGACTCTGGATGCCATCACATCTTTTGAGTAAATCAGTAGTGAACATACTCTGGCACATATTTTGAGTAAATCATTAGTGAATATGCTCTGGCACATATTTTCATCTGTATTCTTCCGTAACTGTTCTTGGTAGGGAAAAAAATCCCTAGCATATCTTTAAAAAAAATCACTTTGCATTTCAAGCTAGGAAATCTCTCTACCTTCCATCTGACTTATGGGTTGTGAAAAGCTACCATAGTGAAAAACAAATCGTTGGATACATATCACATTGAAGGGTTATATGATATATCACTCAGCATGGAGTCTGGTTTGATTTACTTGCATGCAAGCAAAAGAAACTGTAACAAAAATAGTGCTTTTCCATTCCTTGTATTCCCCACAATATTCTGCCATCCCTCGGAAGGTAAAGCATGTCATGAAGTCACTGTAGGTCTGCATTCAATAACTGATGGCAGAATGAAGCCTTGCTGCCAAGGTGGATGGTACATGGCAGCACAGATAGAACTAAATATCTCATTTCTCAGTTCATACCTAATTCAGAGAGGATTATGGATCTTCCTGTCCTGCAGAAGAGACCAGGAAGCTAAGGAGGAGAGTGACTCTGTATGCACTAACCCTTGCTCTGGTTTGGAGACACCAAGGACTTACTGTGATTCAGCTGGGAGGGCAACAAGAACTGCAGTATTAGCAACAAGAACAGCAGTATTAGACAAATTACTCACTGTTCAACATTTGGGATCTTATGATATGTTAGAGAATATTTAAAGTTATGCAAATTAATATTTTCTTACAGTATATTTGGCTGTGTTCCTGGCCTGTATTATTTTTCTGTGTTGGATACCTCCATCTCCAGCAGATAGTCAGTCCTTAAAAGGGGTTGGCTTTTTATTTTATTCTGTTTATTTTTCTGCCATCTTATATTCTAAAGAGATGTAATGGATCAGCCCAGATATGTTTCATGTTGTGAGGAGAGGGAAGGCAATAGCTTGAAAATCGTTTACAGTTCAACACTGAGCTGATATTTGTGAAGATGAAAACTTACTCCACAGCATTTTTACCTTGTGATTTGGATTCTGTGGGGTAACAATCAGCTTCAAAAATCTTGTCATGACGCTATTTTCAAAGTCAAATAAGGAACGTCAGGGAGAGCACACGACCCCCAAGTGGCTCCCCTCCAGCTTCATAACCCCAATTTATTTTTGACATTGCACCATAAGACTGAAATGATTAATCTATAATAGATTATCTCACAAATCTGCAACAGAAGAACAGAGGATGTGATTTGCTCAGGATTTGGCACACTGGCAATGGCATGTCATAGCAAAGGGTTTAATTAATAACATGAAACAGAAAAACAAACCAGGGAGAGGCTGGGCTATTGCAGAGGGACTTTACCATGGAGCAAGGGAACCCGCCAACCCAATGGCTGCATTGGCCACTGACCGCTTGACTTACCACTAATATTTGAGCAAATAATTTCCATTGGCTTTCCAGAAAGACTTCTGTAAGAGAAGATGCTCCTCACACCCTGCCTTGAGCTTGCATTTCCTAAGTGCTAAGTACCTACAAAACAGAATGAGAAGTGTTCACCTTACCTTTGTGGTTGTCCAGTGGGGTAATAGCACTTGTGTTATGGAACTGTAAAGTGTAGTTATTTGTGAAAAGTGTTGAATTCCTGGGGGAAACACAAACAATTGGATGACTATACCATGTACTTGCGCTACTGAGTGCTCACCTTAATTTCTGAGAGTAAAGGATGTTTGTGTAGAACATCCTGCATAATTTACTGTACTGTGAAACATTTACCATGGATAAATTTCAGCCTATGGAATTCAGTTAAAAAGTGCAAGCATATTTTTTCTGGGACATGGCTACCCCTTGCACCAAATATAGAAGCCAAAAGCAATCATAAAAAATAAGAGTAACACCCAAATTCACAGGCACCATTTTCTGTTGACACTAAAAATGTATCTGCTAATTAAAAAAAAGTTATTGCCCTTTACTGTAATTTAAAAAATTTATTAGGGACACTAGAAACTTCAGAAAAAATTCTCTCTCACCTGTCTGACCTTGGCCAAATGCTGAAGAACGACCATCACTGAGAGCAGGACACTGAAAAATGGAGGGCAGAATAAAGCATTGTTGTACTGTTATTGCCATTCAATGACACCTTCCGTCTGTAAAATCTCCAATTCTCTTTTTACTGTATTTCCATAATTACTAAGTAACCTGGGATAAATATGGTTGGTCTAACCATCTAACCTTGGTCAAACCTTGATTTCTGCTATTTTCAGGGAGATTTACCTGCCAGTCTAGGCTGTCTTTTCTGGCATCAGAAGTTGAACAAAGTTCTCCATGTAGTAACAGGTTTTATTAGTCTGCAATGCCCCTTTCCTTGACCTGTTTGGACTTCTCTTTTGCTAGTGCTTCTGTCAATCCTTGTCTTTGTGTGGGGCCAGTGAAGGTCTCAGACTCAAGACACTTTGGCCAGAACAAAGACTATTAATTTATTTGCGTGCACCATCAAGCAGCAATCATCTTTAAATTGTTGGCTGAAGGCAAAAGGGCAAGTCAGTGCTATGTCTCATGGAGCTACACGAGGATGGTGGCAGCAGGGTAGGTCTGAAAAGGCTGTGGGGCCAGAGAACTGCCCCATGAGCCAGCACTGTTGATAGACAGCTGTGACAGACAACATCTATGCTGTAATCTCCAGCCCATCAAAAGGAGATGTTAATAGTTTCACATAGCTGGGGTTTTGTCCCAGAGGTGAAGACTTTCTTTGGTTCTGTTGGTGTGTCTGGGTGATGGCAACTTTTCCCCTTTAGTCTAACAGCTCAACAGATGAAGCTTGCCAGCTTAGAGCTGAAACTATCCAGCTTCTGCAGCAATGCACAACACAGCAGTGCACAACACAAGAAAGTAAAATAATATAGGAAAATAGAGATGCTGCTGCCACAAATCCTGGGAAGCTTGAATTTAAATACCTCCTTCTTCCTCTGTTGAGGCCATGCTCCTCCCTAAAAGCATCAGAAATTTGGTTTCTCCCTCATGCTCTTCTAAGGTCCAGAAAGGGGTTTAGTTTCTCTCTGCTGGGAAGTGAGATATATATGGGGAATTATGCAGGAGTTATGACCTGGTTGACAACAGAGGCAGCATTAACAGATACAATTTAGAGAGCAAACCAGTACTTCAAGCTTTTGGGGGATTGATGCAAGTGGTTTAGCTTGATGCAAATTTCTTTCCATTTATGAGCAATTTTATGAGCAAAAATATTGCCTCCATCTCTACCTCTAGGCACTTCTGACCACAAGCTGAGATCTCACCTCCAGACCAGGAATGGTGGGATGTCCAATGGTAGAGTTTGCCACACAGCTTGAATTTTACACAGATATTAAATATACACAAAATATATAGGGTTTCACATCTCCAATAGGTAGTATCAAGGGCCTTAGCAGACACAGAGGGCTGAAAGCATCTGAATTGAAACAGGAGTCAGGGCAGGTTTAGGTCAAGAGTCTGGCTCAGAAAGTAGAGCAGCAGGGTTTCATTCCTGGTTGTACGAAGATCTGAAATAACTCCCTGCCTCATGCTTTACTTCCCATTCATGCCATTCCAGCCATGGAAAGTTGTAAGTACCCATAAGTACTCATAAGTACCTGTTGTACTTACGAGATGCTAGAACTCCTCTCATGCTTTGGGGTTATATAAATGCCACGAAAACCCACAGAAAGGGACATGGAAAACCAGCATGCAGATCCTGGTCCCAGGCAGCCTGAGGGCCTGTGTCTTGCTCTACCACTGCTGCCTCAAGCTCAGGAGTGCAGGTGAGTGACAATGTGTCACCCTCTGCAGCTGATGGCCCTGGCCCTGAGCCCACAGAGTTCAGGGTCTGGGCAGTACGGTGTAAAATGTAAACCAGTGGTCTTTTTTGTTGTTGTTTTTGTGAAAGCCAGTAATCACAGAACTAAAGCAGTTGGGTGAACCACAATTTACTACCATGAACTCCTCGAGTCTGTGTTTTTCTAAAGGTAACAACCATAGATGCTGAAATGGCTGCACTTTGGACAAAACAAATGCTGCAACAGGATATAGCTGTAACAAACCTGTCAAAGCTCATAAACAAATAGTCATCCATTTAATCACTAATTATTAATCCAATTCTGATCTTCAGTTACTCAAAATGAACTGTTTAAAAAAAAGTGACACTTGTTAGTCTAAAGCAATTTAAAAACATGTGTTCAAAAGTAATGCATTGGTTTACTGTGGAACAATCCATCTGTTATTAAAAGAAAATTAGGACAGGAAAAAGAAATCATATCCCATTAAATCAGCCATATGAGAGAAGATTCCTTTTGAAACTGCCCCCACCTGAATCCTAATCTGAGTGCTGAACGAGGCAGACAAGGGTTAATGAGCAGGACCACAGCCTGCACCATATTCCTGCCCCTCTAAAGCAGCAGAATTACAAAATGGATGGGCGTGAACGAAATTAGAGATTTGCTACAGATATCTGCTGCTTAGTGCCTAAAAATTTAGTTTATGGAGCCTTTTAATCTGTGTATGGAAATGAGTCAACAGCAGAAGCACTTCTGACCTCCCTGAAGATTTTTAGCATCATCTCAACCCTTCTTAAAACCTTTCCAAGCTAATAATATTGCATTCTTGGATTTTAGTTTTTTTTTTTTTAATTGAAACTGTATATGTTTCAAATTTGTCAAATAACTGGAGAAAGCAGTGTTAAAAATTCAACTGCACTAATTACTAGCTGAGCAGCATAAAAACCTCTGAATAAATGTCAGTCTAGGAGATAAGCTCTTATCTTAATCTAATGACTCTACAGACTTAATTTGTCAGGCCAGCCTAGTTGATGAAAAACAGGTTTCTATTCTCCAGTGTTAGCAGCCACATCTTTCCAAATCTTTGAAGTTGGATAGTAATACCATCAGTGTCATCCTGCAAAAATCTTGTGACCAAGCCAATTCCATTGCTATTGTCCTGTTACACTAATTAAAGTTGTTTTACCCCCATCAGTGTGCAATAGGTGAAAATGAAGGCAATTTATTTTTAGATTTGTTGTATTCTGGGATAATCATTCTTGCTTCCCACTGCCCACAACGATGTGTTAATATTTGCAGCTCTCTCTCATTATCAGAAAGCCAGGCTTTTTAGCAGGGCTCCACAGACTCCACAGTGCTATCCCAGGACAATTCCTGCAGTGCAGACAAAGCACATAAGTACGTGTGTGTGGTTTATTTATGTAGAGAAGAGTAATTCTGAGCTCAGGCAATGAATTTGATCTTAAGAGATGATTTTAGGTTTTTGAAATCTTTCCCTAAAGGAGAATTTGACATATTTAAAACTAAATGCACCAAATGTTCATAGTGTTTGGACAAAGTGGGTTAACAAATAGAAAAAGAGAAATTAGCTGCAGCCAGTGTGTCCAGTCCCCCAGTCTTCAACTAACTCTTCTGATGGGAATTTGGTAGGCCTTTTGTGCAAAGTGCCCCATTGCAAAGGATATAATTTAAGCATGGTACTCTTTATCCGAACCCCAAAACTTAGAGGGATATGCTTGGGTTTGAGGAGTTGGGAGATGAGTTTTATTCTGATGATACCCATGAAAATGACAAAGTAACAAAAACCTGATGAAAACAATAGTGCTAAAGTGCAATCTACTGAGGCAAATACAAGAGGCCAGTCCTGCTCTGAACTCTCTTGGCACTGACATTATGAACTTTATCAATATTACATATATTGAGATATTTACCTGCTCTGTTGTATCTGAGTTTTATAGCAGTGCAACTCTGCTGGCTTCAGCAGCATTTCACACCATACAACCAAGAAAAGGGAGTGGAGAGTTAGCCACTTTTTTCTGTTATTAGAAAATCCCTGATGCCCAGAGTTGATTGCCCTGAAGCCCACCTTACTTCCCAGACCATCAGGAGTGCAGGGTCAGAGCAACTGTACAGGTGTAGCATAGGTCATTCTGGGATTTGTTTTGGAATGCTTTAGAAGCATTTCACTGTTTGGCTGGGAACACCATCTTGGATAACACAGATTTAATCAATTAGATGACAAATGTCCATCCTCTTGGGTGAGAACACTGCCTACTTGCAAATTTAGTCTAAGTAGGAATGCAAGGGGACCACACAGGTCATGTGCTGGCATATCTTCAAAAGTATTCAGGAGCTGGTCCACGTACATTGTCTTTTCAAAGTCTCATGTGTGAGTATGGACAGCCAGTTTAGCATCTGAGTCATCCTGGCTGTGATGTGAGTTGGGTGCCAATACTGTAGCAGGCAAAGCCTTTGAGCCTGTGCATGCTGGCCATGCTGTCTAGATGGGCTTCTTCACCTGCAGCAGTGCAGATCCTCAACAGAGACGACTCAGAGGCTGAGAAGAAGGGTGGGAAGCTTCATAAGCTGCAAAAACCTTTAAATCAGAAACTGCAATCACCCCACTGAGTTCTGCATCTGATGTATACAATGGCATCTTCTAACATCCTGGCTAACACATCATTGCTTATGGCATCTTCCTCTTAGTTGAGAGCCATAATACATCTTTCTGTTTTACCCAGAGCTGTGCAAAGGAGTAGTTTGCAGGGCAGTGCCAGGTGAAGTGTTCATGGTCCCTAATATGACCCAGAACGACAGGGCTGTTGAATAAATTACAGGCAGATTTTCACAGATATATGAGCTCCCCTGAATACAGATCAGTATCTACTTCAGATTTTTAAAGCTTCTAGGCTCCATGTTTTCATTGGGAGTTGAGAGCAAAAGGGTTTTTGAAAATTCCAGAGCCTGAAACATATTTAAGCATTGCTGCCTGCTGTTTCCTTCGATCAAGACAACTGAACTCTTTGAAGGCACTAATAATAACAAAAATAATAAACATTTGATGCATGGTCTGCAAGCATGAGGCCTCATATGACCAAAGCTGAATTTATATCCATTGATCTCATAATGGAAGTGATGGTCCACTCTGAACATGCCAAATTCATTTATGTTAGGGCTATGGCCTGGAATAGCATTTTTTAGTAGGAATTAATGGCTCCTCTTTTCTCCTGCTCTGAGTCACAATTTGAATCTATAGACCATTCCCAAC